TTCATATGTCTGGGGAAATCCAAGGGTGGTGGGACATCTTGGAGCGTGTGAAAACAATCCCTTGGGGTCCATCCCAGATTCCCTAGGAGCCTATAATCATAAATCAGTCCAGGAGAGAACCCATAAAACTCCATGTTGAACTCCTACTTCAAACCCTCACAGAGCTACATTTCCCAACCATTTTAGCAAACTACAGTTCCCAGGATTCTTGGTGAGGATGTGCTTTAAATATACAGTGCATCCACAGCCTTAATTTAAATACAGCTGCTATTTCATCACCTTTGTCTTACATTAAGACACTAACATTTTCAGTATGACGTTTTCCTGTGTTTTTATTGTTTCCTGTTTTTATCTTTAAGCCGCCTTGAGTCCTGTCAGGTAAAAATGGGGTACAAATAAATGCATTTTATTAATAATAATATGATATGGTTTTGAATATATATTCATAATTATATGGAATAACTTTCCAAGCTTACACATACACTATCTATCCTAGTCTGATAGATTTGGGGGGGGGGTGGAAATATCTTTTAAAATAATCACTGCAAACTTGCTTGTCTCTCTACCCATCTGGCGTCACATCAGGGACCCTGACTAGACCTCAAAGCTTTAAATGCAAATATAAATACCAACCTCTCTGTAGTGTTAGGATCACAAAAGTTGAATATTCAGCCACTTACAAAAGTTTCTGTAATATGTTGGGTAAAGTATTATTTGGGAGATAATAATCTCAGAACCTATACAGGATTATTTCCCCTAATTCCACCTAAAACTTCTATTTCACTTGTCATGAAATAAGAATTTCTCTCTAACACATTTCCCTCCCCTCTCTTCCTCCCCCCCCCCCCCGCCCTGTGTGTTGCTACAGCGCACTCTGTATGGTTCTCAGCTTGGACTTCAAATACTAATCCGATCTCCTGGGAGGCTTTCTGGGTGATTGACAGGGAAGCTCTTAATAGCTTCTGCTGTTATGGCAAGGGAAAAAGGAAGCAGCTTGAGTAACTTGAAAAGATGAGGTACAGGTATTTGAGGAGGTCTAAAGGGAGAGTCGTTTGATAAGCTCTGAAGGAAGAAGTGTTTCAGAATTTTTAAGGGGCATGATGAAATGGATGAACATCAAAGAGATGGCTGGGTTGAGCTTCCCACTTGCTACTCACAGTGTGGGAAGGGGGAGAATAGTATATTCAGCACACAGGGAGAGTTCTAGGTGAATGTATCTATTGTGAATCATTTTCATAAGTGCTGTCATAAAGGAAAAAAAGGATCTTCCTGATGTCTCATGAATCACAGCCTCTTATCTACAGAAAGGATATTACTGTTCCGAATACACATGATTTGCACTAACAGCAATGAAAGTTCATCTGTGCAAACAAAATATATAGTAATAGGAACTTGCCCTTCATGCTAAGGTCCCTGGATGAGTTACAACATTAAAACACAATATCAAATAATTGATCCAAGTGATCCAACAATGGATAGAAATTGGACTAGAGAGCCCATGAGTAATGTAGGGGCTACTCAGGGATTCCCCCCCCCGGACCTAAACAGTGCTTTTTTTTCTAGAAAAATAGATGGTGGTGATGTTGTTCATTTGGGGGGGGGGGCTTCACATATACAGTGGTGCCCCGCAAGACGAATGCCTCGCAAGACGGAAAACCCGCTAGACGAAAGGGTTTTCCGTTTTCAATGCACTTCGCAGGACGAATTTCCCTATGGGCTTGCTTCGCAAGATGAAAATGTCTTGCGAGTCTTGAGATTTTTTTTTTGCTTCCCCCCCCCCTTTTTCTAAGCCGCTAAGCCTTTAATAGCCTTTTAGCAGGTAATCCGCTAAGCTGCTAAGCCTTTAATAGCCGCTAAACCGCTAATAGCACTAATCCGCTAAGCCGCTAATAGGGTTGCTTCGCAAGACGAAAAAACCGCTAGACGAAGATACTCGCGGAACGGATTAATTTCGTCTTGTGAGGCACCACTGTACTAAGCCATCAATCCTTTTAAGGAAAGCCTGTGTCATCCCACAAGGCAGATGAAAGGTGATGGCTGGGAGTCCAGGGCCAAACTAAAAGTGATTCAGGAATTGCATGGATGCGTTTCCAAATGTCTTTTTTCTTCTGCTGAAAGTAACCATAGGAAGGGCGATTTCAGCTAGGGCTGTGGTGAAGACAAAGGAGGCCACACCCTTTCTTCCTGCTCTACAGCTCCAGTCCCAAATGCCTTCTGCTAAAGTTGTTAGCCATGCAGAAGAAACATCAGGGCAGAATATAAAAATAAGAGCAGCTTCAGGAGGAGTGAGCTGTATCAGGATCATGGCCCAGATATGAAAAGGTTGGATTTCCTTCCCCCAGCACCATAGCACCATTCAGACTAGGGGTGGAGGTTCAGGGTTGATTTTAGGAAAGAAAAGAAAAAAGCAGACAAGGCATCCATGCATCTCCCATGTCATGCTTCCATTGAGCTCATGAGCGTGATAAAATGTGAACACCTTGCATTTTAGCTACTCAGTTTCACCAGCTTTCCAAGAAAAAGAAAGAAAGAAGGGCAGCTCCTTAGGTTTTTTCTGACACAAAACCAGCCCAAGCTGTCTATGGAATGGGGCCAAATGCTAAACTAAATATGATACTAACTATTAGCAACTATTTGAACACCTTCAAAACTTTTAAAGAGGCCATCTGTGCCGCAGAGCATTACCATGCCAGTTAACACACTTCAGCAAATCGGTTAACAGTGGAAGTTACAGTGACATTTCAAATCTCGTCACGCACTTTGACTATGAATTACCTTCCTGAATGAGTGGGACTGCATTAGAGATGCCAATAGGTTGGAGCCAAAACTAACAAGATCTTTGAAGGTCTCAAATGGAGCATTTCCTGCAAAGTCTAGTATCTCCCAGACTTGCTGCCTGGCACACTCACTTACACCGTCAGCTCTGATTAACAGATTGTGAGATTTGCAATTTCCTAGGAAAATTATTGTGTGGCAACCTACTCTGGGTTCCCCCCCCCGTGTGTGTGTGTGTGTGTGTGTGTGTGTGTGTGATCAGGCTGCTCACTTCTCATACCAGCTGCTCCACCCACCTGTTGCCTTGCATATAATATTTTTCCCCGTCGTCAGATAAAGTTCTGTACTATATTTAAACTATATATACTTTGAATGCAACATTGTGGCAAATACCTGGTTGCAAAAAATGCCAAGGTCCCATGAGGAGAAGTTGCCAGAAGATGTTTGGGTATATGAAACCGTGGAGGGACCAGCTCTGTTCATCTGTTACACGTAAAACTCAGCTTTTAAAGAATAAACAATAAAAGGAAGCCTTAGCAGGCTTATATGTTGAAAGGACAATGGGGAGGAGCAACTTCATAAAAACATAAGAAAAGCCTGTTGGACTGAGCCAATGGTCCATCTAGTCTAGCTGTCTTAGTGAAGCCTTAGCTTGCATAACAATAATAACTAGACATAGAATATACCTTAGAAATATGTGTAATCTGTTTCTCTTGAAACACAGAATACATCACACTGCTCTGCTCTTTCCACCACAGTATTGCTAATGTAGGTGACCTTTCTCCCACTTTCTCCTTCCGTGTCCTGCAACTGAACAAGCCTCCACATCATAGGATGCTAGGAAGGACAAGAACTAACTGCTAAGAAGAAAAGAACTAACAAGGCCTTACCTGCAAGCAAATCTTCAACTAAGGTCATGCATTATTTGTTACACCTTGGTTATTTGCTTGTGGGATATCTTTGGGAGAGGAAAAGGCTAAGGAGTAAACCCTACACAAATCCAGAGTGGAGTCCCTAAGATGGTTGGATGGTGTCCTGTCTTTCTTCTTTTGGCAACTGCTGCAGCCAAACTGGTGCCAAACGTATTGCTTTGCTTTCCTTTGGACCACATCAGCGAGGCTGAGAGAGGGCGGTATTGTTGACTGGGCAGCCCAGGACCTCCATATACACTGCCCAGGCTTGTGCCCAGGGGAGGTCACCTTGGTACTGCTAAAACAGCAGTTTGACTTCAACCCTGGAGTCACTCAATTGCTTTTCGAGACAAATGGATGCCAACAATATTATTGCTTCCAAACATGAACTCTAAATATCCAATATGAACAAGTATACACATCAAGAAAGGAGGGGAGATTTCAAGACACAATGAGTAATCTTTAACAGCTATCATATATCAAATATAACATAATGTTAAATGTAACAGGCAACTAATATAGATTTTTCTTTTATTTATTTAGACTGTTCCTTCCTTCCACTATCATGGAACAACATATTTGTCCTGCCCAGGAGAAGGAAGATTAACTCCAGCTGCAGTTTCTATCATATTGTTTTAAATCTCCTCAGAGGACAATAACCCAGCCCCTGGCTGTACGTTTCCAGGGATGCCATAAATAAATAACTTCTTTGATAACCACACACCCAACATCTGCAATGATATATTGGTCTTTGAAAGTTCATGCCATGAGATACCGCTTTGTAATCACTTTAAAATGGTTTCCTAACAGTACAATACCAAGTGATACTTTCATCCCTGTTTTCAGGAACAGAGATTTCTTTCCCCTATGCATTTGTGTAATTACTCATTTCTGATAGCAGAATTCTAAAATAAGATTTACCATAGATTTTAGAAGGGAGGGGCTCATTTTAAAAAAAATAACCAATATTTGTAACTCTCTGCTATTATAAAAGTGAGGAACCCAGTTCCAAAGAAGAGATGAAAACACTTTCTGTCTGTGCCACAGCTGTGTAGACAACCAGTGCTATTTGTGGAAGGAATGTGTGTGCCAGGGTCGTGGGAAGAGACGTCATTAAGTTGTATCCAATGATGACACAGGAGGAAGTGCCGCTGATCACACAAGCCACGGCACACCAAGCTCTGCATCATATGCTGCTCTGCCCAGAGTCCTCCCAACCCTCAGCAACAGCTTATCAGGGAGGAAGGAGACTTAAATAGCTAGGGAAGATTGATTACCCTCCCTACCACAGGAGATTTGTACACTTCTATCATTGCAGCTCAGTAGTAGAGCTTCTGCTTTGCATGCAGAACATCCTGAGATTCAGTCCCTGGCATCACCAGTTAGGACTGGGAATTTCCCTTCTTGAAAGCATGGAGAGCTGCTGTCAGACAGTTTAAACCAGGGTTAGGGAAATGGATGAAATCCAGAACTAGCCCATCTTCCATGGGTCATTTTTGACAGGTTGGCATGTGATTGAACTTCAAAGAAAGTATCTTCTTTCTTTCTTCTTTTTCAGCCCTGGCTCTGAAGTGATGGTTGCAAAGGAAACAGGGATGCAAGATTCTTCCTTTCCTTGAATTCAAGCCAGGCCTATTCCTGCTGAAGATTCCTGCTGAAAGTGGGACTTGCCTTATACATGGATCAGCTCCAGTGGCAAGCTCTGATTGAGAGCTCCAAAGCAGAGCCACCTGCAGCAGGGCTTGCCCTCAAGCTTGGAATTCAAACAGTGTCACATGCAAGCCAGACTGACAAGGAACAATCAGGAATGCACTTGGTAGCTCCGGCTGCCCTCAACAGGGCTTATCTGTCACACATCTGAAGTCACGTGATAGCACTTGAAATGCCAGCTGGGTGTGGATAGCTGAAAACCGTCATGTAGGCCAAATGGGCCAGTCTCGTGTGCCTATTGGGCCCCTGGTGTGAACAGCACTGAACTATAGGGACCAATGATCTCACTCAGCATAAAACAACTTCCTATGTTCCTATAACTTGCACAGCCATAAACACTTTTTACTAAGGCAAAGCAAACACTGGATATAGCCAATCAGTTCATCTCAATCCCTTGATCAGGAATGGCTGGGCTGGTTTTTTGAATTCCCAATCCTAAGTGGCTTGATGCCGTCCAGAGAGTCAGCGAGACGGACTTAACAGAATCCTTGTTACACAAAGCCCTGTGAACTTGCAGGTAAAGCAAGGAGGAAATAGTGGGTTTTATATATGTTTTAGAAAATACACATAATGTACAGCTAAGCATTGCAATCAAGCATTTTTTTATTTTTGAAACAAAAACGTGAAAAATGTTGCAGAATTCGTTTTTCAAGTGAAATGGCAGCACTGGACAAAATAGAAGCCTGGAACCATCACAGACAAAGATAATCTTCTTTTACTTCTCAATGGATGACCAGCTAATTTAATTACCTGGTTAAAAATAACAATGTTTTTCTGGATAAGACACTACTCAGTCTGGACCACTTTAATCCAAGTGACCCACAACTGATAGGAGACAAGAAAGAGGAAGCTTGCAAGTTGGTAGAATTGCCTGCAACTTAGTAAATACTGCATGAGAAATGCCCTTATTCTGCTGATTACCGTATATTTAATTCAAAATGTTCTGAAAGGCACCTCAAGGTGACTTACAAAAATCAGGATGCAGTGAAGACATAAAACCAAAAATAAAAATTAATAAAGTCCAATGAAAATCATATATGTAATTATATGTGATTAATCTCATTCATTTGTATATAAGCAAAACTTTAGTTTGATAACAGGTTTGTCTGGAAAAGCAGGGGAAAGATGTCTTCTAAGGTAGGCTGAGAGCACTCAATGCAGCCTTGAGAACTCAGCAGATTTGCACCTGATCAATGTCTGGATGCCAGGACTGGCCTGCAGTAGAACAGCAAATGGCACCTCCCAGCACAGGATAGTATCCAAGGCTGGCCATGTTTCAGTCAGGGAATATCCCCAGCTGTACCTGGAGATGCCAGAATTGAAGCTGGGACCTTCTGCATGCAAAGCGCATGCTTTACCACTGTGCTATAGCCCTTCCCCACTAACTCTGATACAGGAAGTATCTGGCCAAAAGTCCTTGGAGGGGAAACAAGCAGCAGGTTGGGAGCCCAATTCAGCAACCTCACCTGTGCATCCATTTTGCTGTTAAAAATAAACCCTGAACAAACTTCTCTAAATAGCAAAATCTATTGTAAGCACTCTTACCTTGGTCTAGAGATTAATTCAAATCCAGTTATTTCCTGCCCTGAGGTTGTTTTTTATGGTTGTCATTTGAATGCCTTTATCTTGTTGGTTTTATTTAACTTTTGTATGTTGTTTAATAAATTAAAGTCTTCCGGACCGTACATTTAATACATTTTGCTGATGTTTAGCACTTTTTTATTTCTGTTTTAGATACTGTAGCCATATCTGCTTCTTCTTGGTTTGAGGTCTGGTTCCCTAAGCAGCTGGAGCAAAATCTTTCTGGGCATGGTTCCTCATCTCACAAACACACCGTTTTATTGATCCCTCTTCTTGAGTTAACTCTTGGCTGGAACACTGTCTGATGTTCTTTTAAGTTGCTTTTTGCAGTACCTGTTTGTAAATATCATTTCCCAGCAGCACTGTCAGTAACAGGTTGGAAGATGCTTATTAAAAGGGGGTGTTGGTGGTTTTAACTCTGTATTTTTATCAGCTCTCATTTAATGAGGATGTATCCCCATTGCTTTGAAATGACCTGGTAACAACCTGGCCTGAGTTCTGTTGATGTTGGGTGGGCTAAAAATGCTGTGAAATAAATGCATAAATAAATTAATCAATGCTGTGTGGATTGAGATCCCAAAGGCACATGACTATCAGCTTCTTATGGGATAAGCACTTGGCAAATGCTTCCAGGACTGCTGCCATAACAAAGTATTTTGACAGCTTAAATATTCAGTCGTCTTGACCCTGGTTATTATAACCATTATAAAATTTTATTTTATACTCTTAAGAGATTGCTATCAATGCAATCCAGTGTATTGTTATGAATGGGGAGAGGGCAGACACACCAAATCCTAAGTTTAGTAAAGGGGTAGAATTTAGCTCTTTTTTTAGAGTATGATGGGAAGATGCCAGGCCAGTGAAAAATACAGGCTGAACCTATTTTCCTGTTCAGGAGACTTCCAATATTGATGCCATTAAGAACACAAGGAGAACTAAGTACAGGGCCATGAAGAACAATTGACCATTGTCCTTTCCCCCAGCTGAGAACTGGACAGAAACAGAAGAATTTGGAGGAAGAGGTTGTCAGGGTAACAGGGGCCTTTTATAGCAGAGACTTTGGGAGCAAGTGAAGTGGGCAGAAAGAAGGAGCAGGAAGTGAGCAGAACTTCATTTCTGAAGGGCCCACCCTTTGGCAAATCTGGGCATTGCACTTGTGTCAAATATTTTCCCACTTACGCCCACCCTGAAAAGCTGCTTCTCAGGGTTCGGGGGCTCTCAATAAAAAAATGAGACATGGTGCAGAAAGTTTCAGTAGGTATGGGGGGTGGGTAGTATCCCTATGTCCATGCATGGAGGCATTGCTGCAGCAGAGCCTATAACAGATACCACCAGACGCAACCCATAGGGTTGTGTCCAACTAAGGCTGCAGTCCTATCCCCCTTACCTGGGGCTAAGCCTCAGTGGGACTTACTGCTGAGTAGACATGGTTGGGGATAGCACTGACAGTCCTGACTAAGTCAACTGATTTCCGTGCTTTGAGATGCAGCCCTAACAGTGTAAGACTAATCATGTCTGCTTAGAAGTAAGTGCTATTGGATTCAGTCCTGCTGAACCTCAGATAAGTAGGGTTAAGATTGCAGCCTAAGGCTCCATCATATTGTCTTTAGGTTCTCAGAAATGATATATTCTAATATATGTGTCTTTTAAAACATACAGTGGTACATCGGGTTAAGTACTTAATTCGTCCCGGAGGTCCATACTTAACCTGAAACTGCTCTTAACCTGAAGCACCACTTTAGCTAATGGGGCCTCCCTTTGCTGCCACGCCGCCGGAGCACGATTTCTGTTCTCATCCTCAAGCAAAGTTCTTAACCCGAGGTACTATTTCTGGGTTAGTGGAGTCTGTAACCTGAAGCGTATGTAACCTGCGGTATCACTGTATTCACTCCCTTGTGATGCTGAAGATGGGGGAGATGAGCAGGCAGTGCAAGCCTCATTCCTTTTCCTATACTGGTTGGCAATATCCATAGCTGGAATATTATATCTCTTTCCCCTGCCTTGTACCTGCATCAGTTTTTCATATGTGAATGCAAAACAAGTACAGCATACAATATAAAGCAGGAATCATGGTAAGTAGTAATTCTGGAACAATCTGAAAGCTACAGTAGTTCACAAGTTGAATACATATTGATGTATAATGTGATGATAATGTCAACTGTGTATTTCATTAATATGCCTGAGAAAAGAAGTGAAAGGGCGACTCACTTCCGGGTTGGCGCCTCTGGCAATGGCGGATTTCCTCCGATCGGGAGGAATCCGCTCCGCGGAAAACAGGGTCTGAACCGCCACGGCGAGGCGGAGACCCATCAAAAACCACAGGCAGGAGAAGCCTGTGGATGTGGGATTCGGCTGGCACCTTTGCGCCCCCCCCTACCCGCGGGGAAACCCTGTTTTGGGGATCCGGAGCGACGTGGGGTGAGTGGCGCGGTGCTTTGAATCGACTGCTTCTTTCACGGAGTGAAGCCGCATTGCTGTTGCCGGAGAGCGCTGACTTTTCCTGTGGACAATTGGATTTTAAACAACTGCCCGTGAGTAGAACGGAAAATTGGACTATGAAATTTCTTAATTAGGCACCGAAAGCGGGAAGGTCTAAACAGGAAGTCCGCCTTCCGCTTTTGTAGATAGATTGAAGCAAAGACACGGTAAGCTAGAGTTTAGAAAGTCGTCTGTAAAGGACTAAATTTTCATCATTTAAAATTACTGAACCCCCCTTGGAAGCAGGAGAAGAGGGGGGAACCTTTTTTAGACTGTTTAAACCTGCAGAAGAGAGAGTAAAGAAAGGTAATTTTCCACCGTCTTGAACCTGGGAGCGGGGTGTCAAGACAGACGTTTTGGAGAAGTTCATTGACTATGGACAAACGTTTTTGACAGATAGTTAAAAGAAGAGAAACATATTGATTCCATTGTTCCCTTTCGCATTTAAAAGGAACAAAATATTGACAAAATATCAGAAAAAGGAAAACTTTGTTGCTAGATCTGCTTTAAAAAAAAAAAAAGATGGATACAAATAGAAATTGTTTCCCTTAGAGGGAGCTTGTGAAACTGTTATTAAAACTGAACTGGGGAGCAGCTGTAAAGATTAAAGAT